TCTGCCCAAGGGGGAGGGTTGATGGAATCTCCGCCCCCCTAACACCCCCGGGGAACATTCTCTTCACCTCAGTATGTATGGCAAGATAGAGCTGCATTCACACTAGAAAATAATAAACCAAATACCTTTATATCTGGAAATGTTAAACTTTCACTCGCTTCTTTCTATCATTTGGATTGCTTCAATTCTAATCACTTTTCTTGGCATTTGGAGCTCTTGATGTGCCCAGATATTAAATTGAGATAGTTACTAAAGTCTATTTCTTCTTCATTGTCACTGTATTTAATCTTAATAATAACCCAGAATGAACACAACACTGAAAAGACTTCTCACTGGTGTTCTGTTGCTGAATGGCTGGTGAGCTATCAAACCTGACAGCTGGCGAATGAGTGTGTGAAACGCACAATCTGGAGATAATTCTAAATGGGTGTATATAAATATCTTAAAACATGTAAATGAAGTATAATAACATTAATAAAAGAAATTAAAAGCATAAATGTGTAACCGCAGATACTGATAGTTAGCCAAATATAATTTTGACAAGCACTTAGTAACACATGAACTACTTCGGACATTGCAGTAATGAGTTAAGCGGTCAGTGTTGTGTTATTCCTGCCATGGTAAATAACGTGAACAACTTAGAATCTGAGTAGTGATAGCAAGGTATGTTTTCATCATTTAGAAGTGACTATGAAGCTGCTGGAGCTTAAACTATGCTGTATTTCATTCTATTTTTTCCGCTCCATAAGGTGGTGGTGTCCATTTCCCTCTGTCCATGTGCATCGCTATATGTAACTTATACCCATTACACAATATAGTGACTGTTTCTGTAAACATTTACATTTCATCCTGCAATGTCCCTGGTACATTTTATCCTGCAATTTCCCTGGTTCTTTCATGCCCTCCCCTACTATTGAAGTCAAGAATGTGGGGGTTGTGGAGGCTTCTGCGCAATAAAATTTGCATTGTGGAGAGTGAAATCCAACATTACCAAAATCGTTGCAATCCGTTAGGTGGACATATCAAAATAAATTACCATTAGGGCAAACTGAATAAAGGTAGAGGTTACAGAGACCGACACGCGTAGATGACCATAAATGGACACTGCCATCAGCTTGTTTACCTTGTGAAGAAAAACAACACTGACCCATGAACGCATTATCTCGTCAAACTACTTTGTGTATTACTACGCACTTGACAGAACGATATTTGGCTAATTATCTGTGTCCGCTGTTACACATTTATGCCTTTAAAGTCTTTTATTAATGTTATGGTTATAGTTTACGAAAGAACCGCACCGACTGGGAGAAAATTGAAGATCATAGCCTTGTAGGCGATCAAAAACTACATTCATTGCTATAAAAATTGATTTGCAGAAGCAAACCAGTTTGAGTTAAATGATGAAAATGTGGCATGCAGAATGACGTGCGGGGACTATGTCCCTACGAGCCTCCAGCAACTTAGTCCAACCCTCCTTGTGTTACAGCAAACTACTTAGCAGCGCGGGAACCCAACATGAACTCTTTTGGCGCGTGTAGCTTGTGACATCACGACAAATTTCTTTTAAGTACACTGTAGTAAAATGTATTTCTGTATTCTAATTTTCATGAAATTTTAATAAAAATACATTTATCAAATGTTCATTCCTTAAATACAAGATGTGATCGATTTTACCATATACGTACCATAGTTTAAATTAGGAATACATGGTATATCCATACTTGCACATTGGCACCCTCTCCCGGCAAATTTGACAGTTCTGTTGTCACAGTTCCCCTTGTTTGTTCCAAAGGTGAAGGTTGTTTACAGTGCTACATGCGTTTCTCACAGAAAACGTTACACTATTGGGGATAACACGAAACTCAGTGAAATACAATAACCTTGTTCCAGTTGTAGAATTTCGTCTGCAGTTCGTCACTTCCCAACCACCGTCCCCTCAGCACTAAGGTAAACTCATTTTGTATTTCTAAGTGTAGTCAGTGGTAATCTAGAGGCACTGGTAGGGAAGTTACATAATCATGAGGGGATCCGGGGGCAGAGCCCCCGGTACCGAAATACGGCAATCGGGAGGGGGTCCAGGGGTGATCTAGAGGCACCAGTAGGGAAACTAGATAATTGGGAGGGAATCCGGGGGCAGAGCCCCCAGTAGGGAAATAGGCAATCGGGAGGGGGTCTGGGGGCATAGCCCCTGCGTTAGGATTTTTTTATGGTTCATACAGCGATCCTCCTGGTAGTTTGTGCGTTTAAGATGCGGTTCACTCGTTCGCTCGCACATCACCGTGTCGAATCATCCATGGCCGAATCTTCTCTCATGTTTTTACATTTTCCACTTACTTTGTCATATGAAATACTATCCTTGGCTCAGATTTTCAATTTCCCATATTCTTTTGCATTTTAAAATGCATGGTATGAACGAAATCACCCCCACATCAAACCCCTGATTCCCCACGGGATCCCCCAATCTTGTTGGCAGGAGTCTGGGACTTCGTCTCTGACAAATACGGTCCTATCGTAAACATTTACCAATGTTATTATACTTCATCAGCATATTATAATATTTATCAATACCCTCATATACAATTGTCTGCATTGAGTGTTTCACATTTTCTTGCTCCTGTAGCCAGGTGTCACACCATGGTGTGTGCTCATTTCAAGGCTAAACGCCGGTGAGACATGTTGCTTCCAGTGTTGTGTTGATTCTGGGTTTGTTATAAGACTTTTACAGTGGCATCAGAGAATAGTAGTCTTCCCAATTTTATCTCTGGGCCCATCGAGAACCCCAAATGACGAAAAAGGTGATTAAAATCAAAGCAATCCTGACGGTAAAAAGAAACATCGAAAGTTTAATGTTTCCTGATATAAACGTATTTGGTTTATTATTTTACTATGTGAATGCAGCTCTATCTTGCCATGCATACCGAGAATGTGTCACATAGGGTGTTTGGGGGCATGCCCCCCACCAACCCTCCCCTCGGTCACACCTAGTCATGGCAATTTATACTGACATATTAGGTTGGTTTATTGGTCAATACATTTTTTGGGGAGGGTTTGGAATGTGAGAATTCCCGTAGAGTTTTGCCAAAAAGTGGGTTGGGTTCCCATAGTTTTTGTTTTTTTTCTGTCGCCTCAGAAATGTCAAAGATGGCGGTTACATCCGTAGAGTTTCATTGGCCGATTTTAAGCAGTTTTTTGTGCTAGTTTTACGTATTCTTTATCTTTATTTTTGTTATTTAAGCCTGTTTTACCTCATAATTTCACTGATATACTTCATGCCCTTCCCTGCTAACGGGACTATCAAATCAAGATCATCGATGCAGAAATGGTACTTGATCTCCTGAACAATTCATTCGCTGATGATACAATGCTGAAGATCGATGAAATCATTGGATTTCCTGCAGAAAAACATCAATTTTTTTCAACTCAGTCTCTGGGAGGGTGCGTTGCTCTCTGTAACAATTACCCTGAATAAGATAATCTTATTAAGGATAAAAAGTAGCAGTCCTTGGTACAATAACTAATTTGCAGACACAAACAGCAGTACCACCTATAAAAGAAAAAGATTGTGGAAAGCTCTATCTTGCCGTGCATACCGAGGTGAAGACAATGTTCTCTGAGGGGTGTTTGGAGGGAAGAGCACCTCATCAACCCTGTTCTCAGGCAAGCCCAGTCATGGCAACGTGAACTGATATATAAATTTTGTAACAACTCGGAGACTTAGTCTCTAGTGAGTGCATCCATACAGTAAAAATTACCAAATTCCTCACAGTTATGGTGACTGCAAGATCAGATGCCTGGAAATTGTTACTTCCTTCTATATTTTCAAATATTGCAATTTACAAGTGTAAAACTATGCAAATGAAAATTGGTAAGTTATTACAAAATCCGGCAATTTTCTATATTACCTTCGCCTCTCCGATATCGACGATTTTGGTATCGTTGGATTCCTCTCACTGTCCACATTGCAAATATATAGTTTTCATTGCGCGGAAACCCCCCATTAGCGACAAACTTGGCCCCAATAGCAGGGGAGGGCATGAAAGTTTCCAGGGAAAATGCAGGGTTATATACCACTAATAATATAACCCACTGTGAAAATAACCATGATTATTCACATGACTTTCCATTGCAGGAGGCTGTGCCCCCTGGGACCCCCGCCGAGGAAACAAAACCTTCACCACGTATTCCCGGCAGGCTAGAGCGTTACATAGTTATCGGCGATCTCGGAGCGGCGGACGTATTACATTTACCTCGTAACATTCCCATTGAATCAGCATACTAACCTTGATATAATCAATATTGTATACAGATACGATTGTAGTATAATCAAGATGAACAAGGTATACCATGAACAGAAGAGCGGCGGTGACCTGCCCTCGTCCCACCCCTGTAGGGGGGGTCGCTGGGGGCACAGCCCCCTGCAATGGAAAGTCATGTGAATAAACTTGGTTATCTTCACTTTGGGTTATATTATTTGGGTAATTTTCTATATTACGTCCACCGCTCCAACATCGTCGCCCCTGCTATTGGGGCCAAGTTTGCTGCTAATAGGGGGTTTCCGCGCAATAAAACCTACATATTTGGATTGTACAGAGTGAGAAGAATCCAACGATACCAAAATCGTCGATATCGGAGAGTCGAAGGTAATATAGAAAATTACCCAAAATTCAAACACTACAGAACACTCTGGAAATCTAAGAAATGCCCAAACCTTTACTGTGTGGTTACTATTTCTACTTTTTAATGCACAATGACAAGGAGTTTAAACATTTATCTTATCTACGATTTAAGTGGAACTGATCGGCATTTTCAGACACTAATATAATGCAGAGCTTGTCCAAATGAAATTAAAAGTAAAAGAACAAATCAGGACAGGGAAATTGGGTTAAAGATGAACTAAACTTATCTTGACAATACGAGTTGACAAGTAAGTCATACCGGGATGATGTAGCAATGTCATAATTTCCACGAAACTACACTACACAGAACCACCACAAACTCACAGTGTATGGGACTTGGCTTCATTTTGACTCCTAGATCCTGGAAAGTTGTAAAACTCCCCAGGGGAAGGGCCACCGGACCAAATTGGGGATGCGCCGTAGACACTAGCCATTGCACTGCCAGCCATGATGACTCTCCTCTGGGAAAACAACACTCAATGAAGATACTATTTGTTTTAGAAAGAAAATTTATAAAAGTGTTTATTATCATTTTAGGTATTTTGTATTAATAAAAGAGAATTATATAGAGTTATATATTGCATAGTGTTTAAAAATATTAATTTAAGTTGCTCATTTGATATCAAAACAAAAAGGGGCATTAGCATAAAATAAACACGAAAGACGAGAAATTTTATGTTAAAATATATCTAGAACTCTCATGTTAGTATATAAATCTACAAGATGACCAGAAATAATTAAACATATAGAAAGCGGATTATATAAAGCCATAAAACGACAAAATCGGACTCGAGTCACTGGTTTGGAAAAGCGTTGAATTTTCTTATTAGGTAAAATGTGTATTTTCAACGCATAATTTTGAAATACATATTTTTTTCTGATTATAAATTTGCAAAAAGAAATTGCAATACCCTATGCAATTGTTTCGCGCCAATGTGTGTTTTGAAGTGTGCGCATGCGCGTTTGCTTCAGTAGTGAAAGATGGAAGGGAAGTGGTGAAGGTTTGAATGTTTGTGATCGCGAATAGCCAGCGTTTTTATTATATTTGAATGGAAATACCTCTAGAAACATGACGGAACCTAAGAAGGTAGCATTTTCTACCCTAGGGCCTATAAAGAAAGAAAAGAAAAAGGAGAAGAAGATGAAAACAGTGCGTATTATTTTGACACTGCCTGAGTCCAATGAGAAGTCTTGTCCGGAGTTCAACTATCGAGAACTGGTGTCTCTAAAATTGGTGAGTGCAAATGTAAAAATAGTTATGCGGAAAGTGCTATGAGGGAGGCAATTCCGCTGTCAAATCTGTAGGCTAATCGCTCCTAGGACGAGTTAGAGCAGTTTCGCAGGGCCTGGCTGGAGGAATGGCAGGGGGACGAGACCGGCGGAGGGAAGCAGATGGACATTTTGTAGAGCGGGAGAACAGGGTGACAGCGCCAGGGTTTAAGTGTTCACACACCCACACTGTAGAAGGCGGCACACTCTGTCTTTACGCTAAGCCCCAGCGTGTAAAATGATCCCTGGCACACGAGAGGACGTCACCAACCAAGGCCCTCACTCGGGGATGTCCCCGAGTGGGGACCGTCATGAAGGATGACCTCAAGGGTATGTAAGGGACTCAAACCCCCCAAGGGCAAGTGGGAATAAACCTTCGGCCCAGACCTCAGAGTGTCACACTTCAACACCCCGTTCAAGTGTAAGTTTCTGAGTAAAGGAGAGGCTGAAGCTCCCCCTGCCACGCCGGGGACGTGCGAGCCATGTCTGAAGGATTGTGTAGGGTGTTGGAGTAGTCCTTGAGTACTGTGATGGCAGCCTGGAGGACGAGGATCACGCAGGCGAGGCTGTCATTGGCTGAGGGAGGCGGGTGAGGCGTCGTGCGGCAAGAGACACCCGGGCGGCTTCACACCTTCATCCTTTCCACCAGAAGCGAGCACGTCCCCCTCTCGAGCCGTCTTCCTCAAAAGGCGCCTTGAAGGTCGTCCTTCAGTCCGAACATTGATTTGAGTACTTTATCTCGGGTGAGAGATAAATATAAAGATTTGATCTATGTTTACTTTTAATGTAATTAATTTAACTGTGCGAATGTGACGGTAGTAGTTTGGCGAGAGGAATGCAAGGAGTGTTTGGAATGATCATGTTGACGCAGGAGACGATGTGTGTTCATGTAGCTTTACGGTCATGTTACACGGAGTGCTGACCGCTCGGTGAGACAGTCGCGAAAAAAGAAGAAAAAAGTAAAAAAAAAAAACTCATTAATTGTCAATGGAATGCCACGCTCCCCTTGTCTTGGCTGAAGGCATTTGGCTGCTGTATATTGAGGCTGACCCCCAGGTCGTGTGGGTTTACGTCTGGAGTTGGATGCAACGTGGTACGTGGTGGGGGTCGAGGGTGAGTGTAGGGTGTCGGAGTGTAGTGGAGGAGGTCGATTATCATAATGGCAAGGCGGGCTAGACATTTTCCCGAGGCCGGGCTGAGCTTTCCTCGCGGCCCGAAGGCGTTCTTGGTGGCAGATCGAGGGACGTGACTCTCCCCACGGAGGAGAGGGCAGTCGTTGGTGGAACAGAGGTTCGTAAAGGAGGAGAGATAGAGCAGACGAAAGATAATTTGGGGGTCCCGGATGTACGTAGAAACTGGTCACGTGGTCTCAAAGAATCGATGAAGCAAATCAGTCGCGCCAAAAATGTTGCGGTGGTCAAGGGACCTCCTGATGCCACGCGCGCCTCGCTCCCTGCTGGAAATTTGCACAGGATGGTCGCACGCATTTTTACATGAAATATGTTAAAACTAGAATAATATTTTAGTAAAGACTGCTTTTCACTCGTCGTGGGTCTCGCTTTCGGAAGAAGCAAAAATGTCTTAGCGAGAGTCCCCGTGTGTGAAGTGTGCTCCGCTCGATTGTCGCTTCTATGGCTGGGCGTATAGAGGCGATTTTTAGGTTGTAATTAATTTGCTTTTGTTTATTCTTGAATTTTGTTGTGATTATGATGATGACGACCCAGGAGGATGACTCCCTCCCGCCAGGGGGATTACATTCCCTCCCCCCTCGCTTCATAGCCCTGGCTGCCTGACTCGAGTGACTGAGGGGGGGGGGAGTGGCCGCCGAGATGGGGGCGGGGCGCGGGGGCGGGACTTACCGCGCGGCGCGCGTGGTGATTGGTGGGCGTGGGGCTCGGGCGCTGGGATTACTTTGTGGGCGTGGTGGGCGCGGATACGGGCGTGTGGGTGCTGACGTCACCACCACAGTGACGTCATGGGCTAGTGGTGACGTTGCGGGCGGCCCCACGTGCGTCGGGGAGCGTGAGGTGAGGCGCGGTGGCTCATGTCTGGCTGCCTTCCTTCGCCACCATAAAGCTTCTCCCGCGCTGCGCCGCCGGGCCGCTCGGCCTGCTCGCTCGCCACGCCGATGCACGCTCCGAGTACAGCTCTTTTGATTGTTTCATTATTTTCATTATTTATTATTATTATTATTGTTTTGAGGGGCGGATTTTTATCGGTATTGTAGCGGTTTGTTGTGGAGGAAGGGACGGCAATGAAAGTCGATTATGCAAACAATTTGTCAAGATGAAATTCAACGGTATCTTGTCTTCACAATTTCGTTCAGTTTTGATTTTCAGTAAAAAGTATAATCATTTGATATTAATTTAATGTAGACACGTGGAATTGGCTCGATTACACGTAACCGCTGATTAGAGGATGCATTTTACGTTTTTATAAAGCGTTCATCAGGGGAAATCAATAGTGAACTTGTGTATTTAGTTTTTGATAGTTTAGATGATTAATTTATATACCTTATGTTACTAATGAAAGGGAAAAAATGGTAAAATCAGAATGATATAATTGAAAATGTTTTTAATATTGCTAAAATATAGGACGGTAATGGTGCTAGAGGAATGGTATTTTCATTTTACATATTCCTTTATTTATCCCTTTGTGAAGTTATTGTAATGGTTTAATAGTTTTAGATAGAAAATACTGACTGTTGAACTTTTATTTACTGTTCTGCTCATAACATTATGTCTATAATACTGTGGACTTTATTTTGTTGGTGTATTATTGTTGTTATTAATACTGCTGTTCCTTTTGGTATTATGATGATTATTGTTATTATTGTAGTCATTATTATTATTATTATTATTATATTATTTTGTTGTTGTTGTTGTTTTGTAGTTGTTGGTATTGTTATTGTTATTATTATTATTATTGTTAGTATTATTAATATTATTATTGTTATTGTTATTATTATTGTTATTATTATTGTTGTTTTATTATTATTGTTATTATTATTATTATTATTATTATTATTATTATTATTATTATTATTATTATGACAATGATTATTGTTTTGTTGTTATCATTATTATCATTATTACTATATCATTATTATATTATCATTATTATATTATTATCATTATCATATCATCATCATTAATATATCATCATCATTTATTATATCATCATTATTATATCATCATATCATCATCACCACTATTATTATTAAGGGTAGATAATTCAGCCGTGAGTGCAGTGAGTTTGTCTGGCCATGACATTTACCAGGTGCTTCCAGAAATCAGGGAAGACTGAAGATCATCAGTCGTAATCAGTCATCATCAATCATTATCAGTCATTATCAGTCATCATCATCATCATCATCATTGTGTTATTGTTATTGTTATTGTTAATATTATAATGATAATAATAATAATTATTATTATTATTATTATTGATATCATTATCATTATCATTATTATCATTATTATTATCATTATCATTACTATTATGACTATTATTACTATTATTACCATCATTACTGTTACTATTATTACTATTACTGTTAGTACTAATATTATTATTAATACTATTACTAATACTAATACTATTACTGTTATTGCTATTATTACTATTATTAATAATAATAATGTTACTATTATTATTACTAATACTAATTCTATTACTATTACTTTTATCATCATCAATTATTATTGTTAATGTTGTTTATTATAATTGTGAATGATATCATTGTCCTTATCATTGGCTCTACAAGTCTGTTACAGCTGTTCCTAGTACTATTATTGGTGATAATGGCAGACCTATCCTAATACTATTTTTTAAGATTATTTTTTATTGTAATTGTTTGTGTTATTGTTATTACTTTTATGTTTGGTAGAAATGGCTGGAATCCAGGAGAAATCTGAAACTCTTTGTCATTTATTTCATTGACTCTTTTTTGTGCATTGTAGGTTTGTCTACAATTGTGTCAATATGGTAGTGTGTTTTTTCCATTCACTTTCAGTAGTTTTATCATTTTCATTAGTGTTGTTCTTATTGCTGTTATTGTTGTTCTTTTTCTTTGTCTATGTTGTCATCATTATTATTATTATTGTTATTATTATTATTATTAATATTATTAATATTATTATTATTATTATTATTATTATTATTATTATTATTATTATTATTATTATTATTATCATTATTATTATTATTACTAGTAGTAGTAGTAGTAGTACTAGTACAAGTAATAGTACTACTAGTAATAGTCTAGTACTAGTAGTACTAGCACTAGTACCACTTGTCATTATTATTATTATTATTATTATTATTATTATTATTATTATTATTATTATTATTATTATTATTATTAATATTATTATTTTATTATTACTAGTACTACTACTACTACTAGTACAAGTAGTGCTATTACTAGTAGTACTATTACTACTAGTAGTAGTAGCAGTAGTACTAGTAGTAGTAGTACTAGTAATAATAATAATAATGGCAACAATATTAGTAGTACTAATACTATTACTAATAGTACCAATACTATTACTAGTACAATTACTAGTAGTACTAATACTATTACTAGTACAATTACTAGTACTAATACCATCACTAGTACAATTACTAGTAGTACTAATACTATTACTAGTACAATTACTAGTAGTACTAATACCATTACTAGTACAATTACTAGTACTAGTACTACTACTAGTACTACTACTAGTACTACTACTACTATTAGTACTAGTATTACTACTACTAGTACAACTACTAGTACTACTACTACTGCTAGTACTACTAGTACTATTCCCACTAGTACTACCGGTACTACTCCCACTAGTACTACTAGTACTACTAGTACTACTCCCACTAGTACTAGTATTACTACCACTAGTACTACTACTACTGCTACTACCACTAGTACTACTACTACTACTACCACTAGTACTACTACTACTACTACCACTAGTACTACTACTACTACCACTAGTACTACTACTACTACTACTAGTACTACTACTACTGCTGCCACTAGTACTACTACTACAACTGCCACTAGTACTACTACTACTACTGCCACTAGTACGACTACTACTACTACCACTAGTATTACTACTACTACTGCTATTACCACTAGTACTACTTACTACTACTTACTAGTACTACTGCTACTACTACCACTAGTACTACTACTACTACCACTTACTACTACTACTACTACTACCACTAGCTATACTACTACTACTTACCACTAGTACTACTACTACTACTACCACTACTACTACTACTACTACTACCACTACTACTACTACTACTACTACTACCACTAGTACTACTACTACTACTACCACTAGTACTACTACTACTACTACCACTAGTACTACTACTACTACTACCACTAGTACTACTACTACTACTACCACTAGTACTACTACTACTTACTACTAGTACTACTACTACTACTACCACTAGTACTTACTACTACTACCACTAGTACTACTACTACTACTACACTAGTACTACTACTACTAGCTACTACTACTACTACTACTACTACTACCACTAGTACTACTACTACTACTACTACTACCACTAGTACTACTACTACTACTACTACCACTACACTACTACTGTACTACTACTACTACTACACTAGTACTACTACTACTACTACTACTACATATACTACTTACTACTACTTAGCTACTACTACTACTACACTACCACTAGTTACTATACTACTTACCACTAGTAACTACTACTACTACTACCACTAGTACTACTATACCCTACTTACTACTACCACTACCACTAGTACTTACCACTACTACTACTAGTACTACTACCACTATACTTACTACCACTAGTACTACTACTACCACTAGTACTACTACCACTAGTACTACTACCACTAGTACTACTACCACTAGTACTACTACCACTAGTACTACTACACTACTACACTACCCACTATACTACTACTACTACTACCACTAGTACTACTACCACTAGTACTTACTACTACTACTACCACTAACTACTACCACTTACTACCACTACCTACTACTACCTACTACTACTACTACCACT